CTCAAAATACATAGATGGTTTGTATTTATTAAGTTGAGATATCAATAGAAAAAATATCCATGTTTTTCACCTGTGTGTGTGTGCGCGCGCGCGCGTGCGAGAGCGCTTCATTTTTAAACTGTTTAGAGTAATATTGTCTTGAAATAAAGCACAAAATAGTTATGTTTCCAAAGTTTCTCCTTTTCTTTGTTGTGTTAACAATATCACTGTATTCATCTGAAGCCAGGGGCGGACTCACATGGGATCATGTGGGGTCAAATGACCCCACAGTTTTCTGGAATTTTTTTTTTTTTTTTTTTTGCTGAAAACTTAATTTTTTGCCCCAAAAAATTCAAATCCTAAATCTATATCCATATCACATGGTCCATATCCATTATTTAGTCCATAGATATATCATATAATCCACCGATTTCTTCCCAAAGTGCAAATATCGAATATGAACAACAAACAACCGATTTTTCTTTTTTGTTCATAATATGTTGTTCGAAAAAAAAAAAATTTGACCCCACAGTTCGTACGGTCTGGGTCCGCCCCTGTCTGAAGCCCAAAACTCCCCTCAAGACTATCTTAATGCCCACAATGCAGCCCGTGCCCAGGTTGGGGTTGGACCCATGGTATGGAATGATAAAGTAGCAGACTTTGCTCGAAACTATGTTAATCAGAGGACTGGTGACTGCAACCTCGTCCACTCTGGTAGCCGAAGCTATGGAGAGAACCTTGCAAAGGGCAGTGGAGATTTTACCGGAAAGGCAGCAGTTGATTTATGGGTGTTGGAGAAGCGCAATTATGATTATAAATCGAATTCTTGTGTTGTAGGAGAGTGCCGGCATTACACACAGGTAGTGTTGCGTAATTCACTGCGCCTTGGATGCGCTAGAGCCCGGTGCAACAATGGGTCGTGGTTTGTATCTTGCAACTATGCTCCTCCTGGTAATTTTATCGGCCAGCTCCCATATTAAGGATATTCTGGGTATTTAGTCTAATAAGATTGAACATGATAGTTATGTTGAGTCATAAAGTACTACACGAGTACGCGACTTCAAAAATTAATCTAATAGCACGTATGTATTCCACTTTCTACAGTGGTAAATAAAGTTAAATAGTTATAGCTCAAAAAGAGAGTTACTAAATACTATCACTTTCCTTGGAAAGGGAATAAAGAAATGT